ATTTTGGGAACCATAAAGCTTGGGGCTATAGGGCATCTTGGTCTTGAAGATGATGGGTTCATGCATTCTTTGGCCAAATATGACCTCCAAAGCTGTTCAAACAACCACGGCATCATGTAGATGCAGCCACATTGTCGAAATTGAGCTCGAACATCACCACATTGTTTACCGATGTGTACCCAATATGTCACTACGATGGTCGAATCCTGAAACTCCCCACATCCAAGCTCCGAAAGTTCTCAACTTCGCAACACGAAAACCATGGTGCTTTACAAAATCTTTAGGAAACCACCCAAACCATCTAGGAAACAGCCCCTACACTGGACGACTAAGCTTAAGCACGATGGTAGAAGCCAGAAAGTTGGAACATTAGTATCCTCATGCCCTTATAGGTAAAGGATAGGGATCCTAGCAGCAATCCTCCTAAACCCATGTTCCAACTTTCTGGCTTCTACTGTACACCCCTAAACCTGGCCCATGTTTTGATGGTCGCTCGCACGTGCCGCTTGATCTCCGCCGGCTTCTCAGTGAGAACCCTGTCCAGGGTTTTGGTTAATAATTGGGTCCAGGCTTAGGGTTTAAGTTAAGGCTTCAGGGTTTTGCTATGTGATCGACCGATTGAATTGGACTAGCATTTTGGCCCTATGGCGCCTGAGCATTGCTCGCTGCAACACTCGCCTCTCGAAGCCTTTCCCGTTGTTGCATTCCACACATATCGGCTTCAGCAATCCCACGCTGTCTTCTTGACTGAAACAGTGCCAGTAGCGACTGTTGTATCCTGACAAATGTGGCCCGGCCAACAACAATAAAATCCCACAGTTCAAAATTGAAACCTGGCCCCACACCGCCTATATCAGCACTAAAACCCTTGAGCCCAAAACGTACTATATACCCCGAGCTTCTTTCTGTGTAGCTCTCCCACAAGAGCTCCTCCATTGCCTCGGCTAGGACTTGTAGTTTCGAATCTTTCGCAGTAGTTGGGAAGGGTTTCGAATCACTGCTAATTATATATATATATATATTTTGTATAATATTTGCGAGCTAATTATAATATATGGCGCTTCAGCTTGGCGGCATGCATCTTCGGTCTGAGCAGGAAGCGTAGCTTGTTCAGCTGGAGGAATTCGTGGGCGCACTCCCGGTACAGCTTCAGGAAGAGTAGGCCTGCTGTTGCAGGATCATAGTAGTACTAAATTTTTCATATACAGCTAGCTACTCGAAATTGTTATTGCAGCTTGGGTACCGTGGTTGTAAACATCAAGTGCTTCGTCTGCAGAAAGGTATCTCCGCAATCGTTCAGTCTTCAGCTGCCAGGAAGCCAGCTCATACCTTATCAGGAGGGTTTAAAGGTTTAAGTATAGGTTCGTCGTTATTAATAATATAATAATTAGCATATTATAATCGACGGAGTATTCGATAAGATCAGAGATGCACAGTACTCACCACAAGGTGGTTGCGACGCTGGCGGCGGCGGCACTCGTCATCACTCTCATTGGCCAGCTGACGACTCAGAATGGTCTGGGTGCTGGCGCAAGTCAATGCTTCCTCGGATTCAGAGTGATACACATAAGGGTTTTAGACACCGTACAGTTATAAGTAATATATATACAGGCAGCAGAGAAGCGGCCAACCAAGCTATCACCACTCGGCAGTTGTATGCCTTTGCCCCCAACCACGGGTAGTCAGGAGGCTTCGCATACAAATGAAGCGATCCAGGCGTAAACCTCCTCTGGGACGTACTGATGCCCGATCCCGAGCACCACCGTTTGAACTCGTTGAAGCACATGTGCAGTTGATGCTTGATTTCGTCACTGGTCGAATACACGTGGTGCTCCGCAAGGCATAGTAATCCCTCTGCAGCCAAATTCTGCATGATCCCAAGGTTTAATGTGTGCATTGAACACATTCGCCTGCAGTGCAATTCACTAGTACTAGTTGTGTGTATGACTAGAGGGTGTATACGGTGGATTGGGTATTAATATAATATTTATTAGCAGCTATATATTAGCTATGTTCAGTACAGGGCCCGGGTCTGGAGGTTGCAAATAAAAAAAAAGGTATTGATGAGATTGAGGTTTGAAGTTGCAGACATGTAATGTGGAATCCCGGCACCAACGTCAAAGGATTCATCTCCGCAGGCATGACTCTCAGCATTGCTTCGGTGTTGGTGAAGCGGCTCCAATTGGACCCAATGTTTGTGTAGAGGATCCCACCAGGCCTGCACTCATAAGACGATATCCCTAAGTGATCCCATTATATATATATATATATAGCTAGCAAACCGACTGAATGGGAAAATGAATCGCACATCCGATGCCCCGACCCCCTTCGAGCCTTGTCTTTCGCACGGCGTTGCACTTATGGCATATATCAATCGACCTCCAAGACCTTTTGTCGAACTGAAAACACTGATCCTGATACGCCCAGTCTCCTTTGAATTCTGTAGTAGCGTATGACCGACTCAAAGTCGGACGCTCGGCCACAAGTCGTCTCTGCTGAGGGGTCAGTTCCTCTTCTAACCCATTGGGCCCGCGGCTCGGTCGTCGAGAATAGAAGGCATGGGATAGAGACCACGCTGCTCGATGGTAGGCAGGATGCAGAGTTTCCTGTTTTGGGCTGCTGCGTAGCGCTTCTAGGGTTTCGGGGCTTATAGCTGGGATTAGCTGATGGTTAGCTCGGGCTATGGAAAGACAGTTCGGCCTGGCCGGCAGAGTGTAGTGAGTTCACCACGAAGTAGGTAAAGTTCTTGGTCCAGGGTTGTCCTGATCATTTCGCTCGAGCTCACTCGTTTACACATATATATATATATGCATATGATCTAGCTTTAAGTCTCTCTGTCTCTCTCTCTCTCTCTCTCTGTCTCTCTCTCTCTCTCTCTCTCTCTCTCTCTCTCTCTCTCTCTCTCTCTCTCTCTCTCTCTCTCTCTCTCTCTCTCTCTCTCTCTCTCTCTCTCTCTCTCTCTCTCTCTCTCTCTCTCTCTCTCTCTCTCGCTCTCTCTGTTAGTCTCTCTCTTGCCGTGCCTTTGACTTTGTGCAAGGGGAAGGTAAACATCAGGGCCGTGAACTTATCTCCCTCCGTCGAGAAGTCTGCTTCGTCGCCATACACCTGGCTAACATGAGTACAGTATAATGATTTCATAAATATATTTTTAGATCGACATGCCTGTCGAGCAATCAGATGTCAAGGCGAGCGGCAGCGATGGGAACAGCATCATTGGAGGCAGGGTGCTCCACCGCCCATGGTATCGACAGTCGTCGAAAGTGTTCCCAATACTCCCTGCAATACATATAGATCAAACGATTGCACAATTAACCTTAATCTGCCCTGCTGTGTGCATGCTAGGGGCCGTATGCTTTCGTCGCTGATGGAAATGTGTTCGGATTGCCAGAGAAATTCGATGTACTCATGAGGATCGATGAAGGGCAATCGTTTGTTCACCCTCTTGGAGTCATCCTCTGGGTCCAGCACCGGGACTGTAATCCAAGCGAATTCCTGGCAGGATGAAGACTACGTTCTACGGCCGTGGCCCCATCTACACTATATATGTTCTAATACTATTAGCTTTAAATTTAAGCTTAAGCTTCAAAATAGCCATCAGCGAGTTGCAATAGGCAGCTTCACGAACCTAAAGAGGTCGCGATCATGATGGGGGTTCGCTGTGTCAAAACTTGCAATCTTTCTGGTGATGGCGCCCATAGAGGAAGCACCGCCCTCCTGCATTCCAAAGATTTCCGGAAAAGGGCTAGGGATGGCATAGTTGATGAGCTTGCACTGGAACAGGATCCTAAGGGTTCAAGGGGCTACGTACTTTTAGGCTTAAGCTTAAGCTTCGGATCCTTCACAGCAGCGGCCGCATTAGAGACAATCCCCTTGGAGGACTCTTTCCCCTCGCCCAGCGATTTCAACCTTGGATCACTAGTTTATGGGGTCCCTTGATTGCGCTATTGGCGTGTATTGCTGTATATAAGCCAAAGTACATGTGCACTGCCAGCGCATGCCTGTTGCCATCGTCGTCATCATCGTCCCTCTGCCGCTTCGTCCCTGCGCAAGGGACGAAGCATGAAGTAATAACTAGCCCTTGCATTATATGGTATAGCAGATCCTAATGCATGCTGCAGAGGTCAGAACCTTTTGCGGCGCCACGTTTCTCCCAAGAGGCACGGTATCCGACCATGAGCAAATCACAGTCGACAAGACGATGCATCTGCATGTGCTATAGCATGTGACCAGCGGAACAGCAATCGTACGCCCTCCTGCCTCTAAGCTCGGGTGACTGCCTCGATGGGCTATCGAGATTTGAAACCCCAGGCGAGGTATCTAATGTCACACACTGACTTCATCGCAGCACCCATGGCGTAGGCAAGAAGGATATGTACAAAGGCCCCGAAGATAATCAAAAATCGAACATGAGGATGTTCCCCGGATCCCTCGCTGGGACCTTTTACTTCTTGCTAATCGTCTTCCTGGCACCCTTGGATTTCGCGCTTGCTTTGGGTTTTGACTCCTTGTTGTTCTTGCGCTCGGCGGATCGCACAGGCTCCGAAACAGTCTTGAAGTCTTCGAGGGCTGCTTGAAGGGCCTTGCAGGATGGCATACTGCATTATAGGAACACATAGTTCTGGAATCACACTAGGGAAAGGAATGCTAAGAGCAACCCACGAATGACCTCCACAAGAGGCTTGAGCTCCTGCTCCTTCATCTTTTTCCCAAGACCCTGGGCCACAACATTCTTGCACTTCTGAAGATCTGCCACGGCCGGCAGGATGTCATCCAGAATGGCCTTCTTCATATTGCCAGCCCTGAGCCAAGTGATTTTGGGATGGGCCAGCAACAGTATAGGTTGGTGTTGCCCCGGAAGCCCCCAAACCAATATAGCGGATCTATAACCCCAAACCCGTAAATCCCCAACACTCAAACCCCAAGACCGAAATCCGAAATCCTACATGTGTTAAGCCTGCATCCAATTCCTGGGGTGGGGATAAAGACAACACGATCCTGTTAAGAGCACAGACATACGGTCACCCAGGCACGTGAAGCTTTATGGCGATAATATAAGAAATCCATCCGAAGCACTATTCTACCCTTGAGCAATCAATTTAGGGATTACCAGTTCGGGGGTTATAGGGTTTGGGGTTTGGGGTTTTGGGAACTGCTTAGTATAGGGGTGTTGTTCGGGGGTCATCGGGTTTGGGGTTTTGGGTTTTGAGAATTATTTAGTATAGGGGTGTTGTTCGGGGGTTATCGGGTTTGGGGTTTTGGGAACTGCTTAGTATTGGGGTGTTGTTCGGGCCATCGGGTATTGGGGTTTTGGGTTTTGAGATTAGTTTATCGCAGGTTATCGGGTTTGGAGTTTTGGGCTTTGGGAATGGTTTAGTTGTTGTTCGGGGGTTATCGGGTTTTGGGTTTACAGTATATATAAGTGTTTACACAGCTTGACACATAATATATAATTGTGGTGTAAGGCACATCTTCGCTGCATCCAGCACCCCTGCGAAGCCCTGGTAGTCAACCAACTCTTTGTTGGCCTTCTTGTCAGCCTTAGGCGATCTCATTGGATGATGGTGAATCGGGTATGGGCCCGAGCCTGGCAGGGGTTTCGGTCTAAGGTTCAGGGTTCAAGTTTAAGTGGGTTTAGGAATAAAGATGCTACCCTCAGAATCAAAGGCAGGCTAGCTGCAGCACTGGCAAGTTCCCGCCAAGTTTTGTCCTTCTTCTCTTTGGGCTTGGGCTTCGGCTTCGGATTCGCATTGTGCTCCGGAGTTTTGGGCTCGTCGTCACTGGCCGGCAAAGCTGCTTCCCTTAGCTGATAATTCAAATTTATAATAACTAGATCAGGATCTAGAAGTCGCGATTGGGTACGAGAATATTGCTACATCATGACTAGATAGATTTAGGATAGTGGCATTGCATTCATCGCATCATCCTGGTCAACATTCTCAGCGGCCATCTGAACCTCTGCGCTCTGTGTCTTCGTGTCACTCTTCTTGTCCTTAATGTAGGCGAAGGATTTGATGAGCTGCATATCCTCGCAGCGATAGTTTCAAATGACAAGGAACCAGCAGCAGCAACCACTCAATAATCCCACAATGCAGATAGAAATCCTAACCCATTTAAGGCTTTAACGGTAGACCTTGACTTTCACCCTTAAGGCTTCACCCCAAGCATCTATAATATACGGCGTATACCTAGCTCGAGACCCGCTAAAACCTTAAAGGACCCCTACAATCCTCGCGCTTGGGGAATTGAGGATGAAGGCGGCAGGCTTTGCCACTGAACGTTGGATCTGCTTCGTGAGCTCGCCTAGCGAGGTCGTCGGCTAGTTCTTGTCCCAGCTCAGCCACCAACGTTCTCACTGTCTTCCACAGGTAAACAGTTTCCTGTTTCACCTCGTGGGTTTTCCTGTCATGGCCAGATCAGATGATCTAGAGTGTCAGAGGATTAACCGTATTAGGTATCGATTCCTAGGGCTACAACCGATTTGCCCACGTCGTCCCTCTGGCCTCACGGTCAGAACAAGCGTGCTCTCCTTCCAATCCCCCTTGCAGGAGAGAAACTGGATCCACATGTCGTGGAATTTGTTGCAACGTTGCAGACCTCTAGCCACATATAGATGTGTGGAAATTATATACCTATAATTATATGTTTTTTAGGCTCCTATATATAGGTGTATAGACATATATATATATATATATATATAGATATATATATATATATATATCCCTAAGCCCTTGATAACGAAACCCTAGACCTCTAAACAGTTTAACACGGAATAGGGAGGCCTATGAGCACTAGTGCTAGTACGAGCACCTCAAAGCAAATCATAAACATCGTCTCAAGGGCTCTTGTCGGCTTTCTGGAACTCTTCCCTGACAGCATCCGGTGCTTTGTCACCTGGCGAATTATAAAACTGGGGCTATTATTAAGCTATATATATTATATGGTTATATATTAAATTTAAAGATCTACTGGGGACCCTGCTCCTGATGGATCTGTAGAATCTGGAATACAATGCTGCCGCTGTCAATGGCTTGCCATGCTTATCGCATCTCCACATCTCCGGAGGGCTCGGCGGAAGCTTCGCGGGACTGTGGACTGTGGCCTTCGAAGGACTGCGGATTGTCGCCCGGGTCGGGCTCGGCACAGCAGGCTTCGCAGGACTGCGGATTGTGGGCTCCTGGGTCGGGCTCGGCACAGCAGCCTTCGCAGGACTGCGGATTGTGGGCTCGTGGGTCGGGCTCGGCACAGGAGGCTTTGCAGGACTGCGGATGCTGGAGGTGGGCTCGGCACAGCAGGCTTATCGATGTTGGACTCCTGGTTCGGTGCTGCGAGTGCTTTGTCCAGCGCGTCGCGAATATCTTCCACTGTCATCGGCTCCCCATCCAATCCAAGAGCTGCACCCGTTGCACTCTTTGGCTGATCGATCTCCATCGGAACCGGGGCCTGCGGCTGCTTCTGGGGCTCTGCAACCTGCTGCGTCTCCGGAACTGTTGGGATCTGCTTCTGGGACTCTGCGACCTGCTGCGTCTCCGGAACCGCTGGGATCTGCTTCTGGGACTCTGCAACCTGCTGCGTCTCCGGAACTGGGATCTGCTTCGTCTGGGACTCTGCAAGCTGCGTCTCCGGAACTGCTGGGATCTGCTTCTGGGACTCTGCAACCTGCTGCGTCTCCGGAACTGCTGGGATCTGCTTCATCTGGGACTCTGCAAGCTGCGTCTCTGAAACCGCTGGGATCTGCTGGGACTCTGCAACCTGCGTCTCTGGAACCGCTGGGATCTGCTGGGACTCTGCGACCAGCGTCTCCGGAACTGCTGGGATCTGCTGGGACTCTGCGACCTGCGTCTCCGGAACCGGTGGGATCTGCTGCTCCCTGGACTCTGCGACCTGTGTCTCCGCATCCTTTCCGGGTTTCGAAATGTCCGTGCCTAGCGCTAGATCTTATACTATATGGCCTCGAAGCAGTAAAGAGATCGATCGGATCGTTATATAATTCTGTATCTAGACATACTGGAGCGGCTACTTCAGGCCTAGGGCCTAGGGTTATGTATATATAATTATTAATATGTACATATTAATATTTTAAACCTAAGCAGCTCCCTGTCCTCCGGCACCGGATCCAAGGGACTCTCTCTGCTTTCCTCCTGCAGGGCTTGGTATATAACTGTATACTATAATATATATATATATATATATACCCTAGGGTAATAGATAGTGTATATATATATATATACACATATATATATATATACATATATACTATATATATATATAGTACCCTATTATATATATATAATATCATATATATATATATATATATATATAATATGTATAATTATATTATAATTTAATAATATAACATTATAATACACCGCCTTAATCCTGCACGGTGCTATTGGGCAATTGGGTCTTATTCTCGAAAGGGCCTATCCATCATCTGATTTTATGATATATAATTAGATATATATATATATATATGTAGCGGATTTCTAGCTTGCATCGTGTCCTCATCCAGGCCACCCGGCAACACAAGCGTTGACTGCGTGTCCAGGCTGCGCAATCCCGATTCCTGCTCATCTTGATCGGCTGCATCCAACTTATCCAGCAGCTGCGTCTTGGCCACCAAATCAGCCTCGGACTCCACCAGGGCAAGCTCCTGCTCCGTGGTCGCAGGTCTCTTCAAGGCAGCCCTGATAGCAATAGGGCTCGGCACCGGGGCTTCTGCCAGGCTATCGTCGCTCCAACCACGGCCCCATCCTTCCGAAGAGCTCTCCGAGCTCCCCCATTCCGATGCCTGCCATGAGTTGCTCCTGTAGTCCTGGGACCACCAAGCATTGCCCCAGCTCCACGATCCATCGTCCCATGCACCGTGCCACGAGCGGGGCTCGTGGGCCCAGCTCCAAGTCTCTCGAGCCGCTGGACGCAGCTCCTCCACAGACATCGGCGCCGGGGATTTCGCCGGTGTGCCTTTGAGCACATTCGATCTTGTAGCCGCTGGGCTGCTGGGCACTGGCGCCTCACAGCCTTGTCATGATTCGCAGCTATACAGTAGAATATATTATATATATATATATATATATATTTCTCTATATCTATATATAATCGTTTAATATATTATATTCTTTTACAGGTACTATATATTAATAAATAATATTACTGCAGCTAATGGACTCTTTCTCGGACGATCCGGGGTCGCCTGGGTCTTCGCCATCGACTTGGGCTTCTTGCCCTCCTCAGTCCTGGAGTATATATATATACATATATATAAATACATATATATATATATATATATATTGCATATTTATAACTGTAATATTTAGATTGCTCAAAAGATTGCTGGCACTATGCGAGCTAGCCATAACATGTATTGGTGCGAACATGTACAGGCCTAGCTATATGTAGGCGGGCCTTTTTTATAAGATAGCCCGATCTCGCGAAGCCGATACATACATACATACATACATACATACATACATATATATATATATATAATACACATACATACGTACTCCTATGTATAAGTACACGGCTCTAGATAGATATATATATACCCCAAGAACTCAATCGGAAAATCACGGCAGGGGTTGCATATTCACAATCGGATCGCAGTAACGAGTTAGAACCCCAGAGCCCCAACGGCCACAAGTCGATCACCCTGCTGAGCCCTGATTGGACTATTTATAATGCCCACGCCCCTAGAGTAATAAAGTTTCTAGACCGATGCCCTTACAACACATCTCCCATATATATGTATATATGAACATTCAGAAACCTAAACCCTATCACTCCGAGGCAGTCTCGCGATCGTCGGGCAGTCTCTCAGTGGATGCCCCAGGAGAAAGCTTAGGGTTCAGGGGCCTTAGAGATTTATTGGGGCTTATTAGGTTTAAGGGTTTAAGTTTAGGGGATAGAGTTGGCTAGAGGTTCGGATTTGAATAAGCATTCGTAGGGTCCTCTGCTTGGCCGGGGCTGTCTTGCCCAGAACCCGGGTCTTCTTGTGCTCTGGAGACTTGACAGGAGTCCTCGGATACTGCTTGCATGCACAGCATGCACTTCCTGTAGAATGCGAATGCACATACTACATTCATTATCTGCAGTGAAGATGCGACTGAACTGACAGGGAGACACCGGAAGGAGCAGGGCTAGCGGTTGTCGGGCTGGGGGTCGACGGTGCTTTGCTCTTGTCTGCTGGCTTGGGTGGGGCAGGCCTCTTCACAGTTTGCAGCAGTGCTGCTCTGTTCTTTGCTCTGGCTAGAAACTTCGCCGCAACACCATCATCCGAACCGGCATTCGTGCACCCGGAACCATTTCCACGGCTGGACATATAGCTCCTGCACGAAATTTAACGCAAAGGATGACTGAATTGCAGCGCAAAGTAGGCCAGTTCCAATATACGGTTCCGACCCCTCGTCTTACGGTTCCGGGCCCTCTTCTTACGGTTCCGGGCCCTCTTCTTACGGTTCCGGGCCCTCTTCTTACGGTTCCGGGGCCCCCCTTGCGCAAGCCTAGATTTTGCACAGCTGCTGGCATGCCCAGGGTTTGAGGTCTGGAGGCCCGT